ATATACAATGGAAAAATAAAATAATCTTAGCAAGAATTGCTCTAAGCAAATAATTTGGCGCGAATTGAATCGTACTGTTTGTTTAGCGTTGGTTTCAGTTCTTTGATAAAAAACATTTCAAAAATAAGTCAGTCAAATTTGTTCTGACACTTTCTTAAGATTCGAAAAATCTGCGCGATGTCTTCTGGCTTCATATCGTGCTGCTCTCTCAGGTGGTTTCCGATTGCCGATCCTTTGTGTTCTTCAATTTGTTGGTGTACACGTGCCGACACGTGCCGACACCTACACCGCCAGCTCTGGCTTGTATTATTGCTTTTCCCAGGTGGTTACTCTATATTTACAGATTACAGAGTTTTTAACAAATACTACAATCGTCCAATAAGCACTGTACTAAGCAGAAAACATCTCAAAGAAATGGACCTTCCAGCTGTTACGATCTGCTCTCTCAACTTGTTTACCAAAAGCAAAATTCTCATGACTGACGACAACCCACTATTTGCAACCAGCGGTTTAAACATCAGCTCATGGTCAGTCACTGCACCAGTACGAGGTAACTGGCCTTGTGGATTGTCACTGCTTTGCTGCTACCCACGGTCCGATTAAACTATACGAAGCAAGATCTCTTGGATGCAATGCAACAACATTCCCATAATATCGTCGTTGAAGATTCTTACAGGAACTATTAAATAGACCCATCTGCACGTTTGGCTGGCAAGAACTGGATTGTTCCCCAAAGATTTTGTTCCTTTGGTAACTCCATGGGGAATGTGTTATACATTCAATTCAGGAACTGATGGTAAGGTGAAAATGGTGGATAGCGCTGGAGTTTCATCCGGATTGACTGTCATTCTTGATGCACAGATACATGAGTACACTGACAGAAAGTACTCAGAAGGGTTTAAGCTGTTGGTACATGGACAAAGCGAATATATCGATGAATGGGAAGGAATAAATGTGGGACCAGGACAGCACATTTTGATTGCTTTATCGCAGAAGAGGGTAGTTATACATAATTAATATATTTTTATGACATGAAGGAGTTTCGTGTGTTTAATTATGTCTGACTCAATGTCGCTAAGAGCTTAAACTGAAAACAAGTCGCTCTATGGACTTAATTAACCTACAGTAAGCGTTCAATAGTCAA